ACAGGATTTGGGGGTATACACAGGATTTGGGTACACATGATTTTTGGGGATACACACAGGATTTTTGGGGTATATACAGGATTTTTGGGGTACACATAGGATTTGTGGGGACACAGGATTTTTGGGGTACACACAGGATTTTTGGGTGTACACACGGGATTTTTGGGGTAAAGGATTTTTGGGATACACACAGGATTTTGGGGTATACACTGGATTTTTGGGGTGCACATGGGATTTTTGGGGGTACACTCTGCATTTGGGGGTTCAAACAGGATTTTGGGGGTGCACACAGGATTTTTGGGGGTATACTCTGGATTTTTGGGGGTATACTCTGGATTTTTGGGGTACCCAAAAATTTTTGGGATTTGGGAGTACACACAGGATTTTTGGGGCACACACAGGATTTGAGGGTGCTGCGGGCTGTTGACACCTTGTCCCCCCAGACTCGTGGACCCCCGGGTGGACCTGGTCCGTGCCCCGTGGTCSCCGTGGACCCCCACGCCGTGGCTGCTGCCGCTGCTGGTGGATCTGTCGCCGTGGCGCCAGCGGCTGCAGGAGCTGGAGGCGCAGCTGGACGCACACACGGACACCGTGTTCATCGCCGACTTCCCCGGTGCGGCCCCGGGGTGTCAGGGGGTCCCAGGGGTGGGGAACAGAGCCATGAGGAGCCAGGGGTTACAGGGCACGGAGAGTGGTCAGGGGTGGGTACAGGGAATGAAGGGGGTTCAGGGGTTGGGTTCGGGGCATGGGGGAATCCTGGGGTTGGGTGGGGGTTGTGGGGTGTGGGGCACAGGGAGGGTCCCTGCAGTGCAGTGAGGATATGGGAGGTGCCAGAGGGTTTGGAGGGGTGCGGTACGGTACAGAGCATGAGAGTGTCCTGGGGGTTCAGGGTGGGGTTACAGGCCAGGGGGTATGGGCCAGGGGGGTTTGGGGTGGGGGTACAGCCCCAGCTGCATTCCAGGCCTGCACCTGGAGAACTTTGTGAGCGAGGACCTGGGGAACACGAGCCTGCGGGTGCTGCAGGGGCAGGTGCTGGTGGAGCTGGTGGAGCAGCAGCAGAACCACTCGCTGCAGGAGGGTGAAGGGATGCAGGTGAGGCTCAGGGGGGCTGCAGGGGGTTTGGGGGTGCCCGGGGGTGCTGACCCCACCGTGTCCCCGCAGCTGCCAGCAGGGCAGTACCACAAGGTGCACACGGTGTCTGCGAAACCCTCGTGCTACATGTACCTGTACGTGAACACCACAGCGCTGGAGCTGGAGCGGAACCTGACGCGGCTGCGGGAACTGCGGGAGCGCGTGCGCAACGGCWCCGGTGAGGGCGGGGAGGACCCCAAAATCCTGGCACCTCACCTCTGGGAATTCCAAAATCCCCAGCACCGCATTCCTCGTGACCCCAGAATYCCCYGTACCTCACACCYGGGAATCTTAAAAYCCCGTGACATCTTGCTTTCTGGTAYCSTAAAATTCCCAGCATCTTACCTCCTTGGGTAAGACACCCATTCCCTGTCTGGGAATCTTCACTGGGGTGGAGGGATGACAGGGTACCCCCAATTTTTTGCACTTCACTTCTTGCTGAAGTGGGGAGACAGCCCCTCAGAAATCCCTGTTAGTTCTCACTCTGGAGTCACAGGGACTCSAAAATTCCCATCCCCTCATCCCCTGGGTAGTGCTGGGGACATGGGGACCCCAAAAGCTSAGTCACCAGAGCCTCTGGTGAGCACCGGGCTCAGTGGATCATGGAGGACCCCAATCACTGTCTCTGGGGTGGGGGGGACTGCAGGGCCTCCAAATCCTGGTCACCTCCTACCCTGGTGAGCAATAGGRTGGGAGGATGACAGGGCCTCCCAGTCCCTGTCATTGGGATGGGGAGATCATGGCAACACCCCCAGTTCCTATCACCGGACTGGGGGATCACAGGAACCCCAAATCCCCATCGCATTCACCCCCACAGAACAGTCCCCGCTGCCCCCCGAGCTGCGGCCCATCCTGGGGGAGCCCCCACCCGCGGGGGTCCCGCTGGACCCGGTGGTGTCGCTGTTCCTGCGGCGGGAGCAGCGGGAGCAGCGGCGGGAACGGGAATCCAGCCTGGCCCAGCGCCTCCGCCGCTTCTTCCGCAGGAARTTCTTCCTCTTCCGTCGCAGGTCAGTCCCAAAGCCCCCCTGTCCCCTTGTCCCCCCGTTGTCCCCCGTTGTCCCCATTGCCCACCGGTGTCCCCGCAGTGCCCTGATGACGCTCATCGCACTGCGGAACCTGGCACTGGGCCGCCCGTCCCCAGAGCGCCTGGCACAGGAGGTGGCCTTCGCCAGCTGGCGTGGGGAGGAGGAGGAGGCTCGGCCCGAGACTGGTGGGGGTGCCCACAGGGGCCCCGAGCTCTGAAAGCCCCAAATAAATGCTGTTTTTTTATGCCAAAAATCCTCCCGTGTGTCAGTCTCCCCCTGTACCCCAGTTTCTCCCAGTAACTGGCCATCCTTGCCCTGTGTGCTCCCAGGCTGTGTACCCATTTCCCTCCATCCCCAGCTCCTCCTGTACCCTCTCCCCTGTGCCCCAGCCACACTCCCCCCACTTCCTGCTTCATCCATCCCTGGTTCATCCATCCCAGCTCCTCTGTACCCCACTTCCCCCTTGCCAATTTCCCCTCACACCCCACTTTCCCCCATACTCATTTCCCTCCATACCCCAGTTCCCCTTACCAGTTTCCCCATTCCTCAGTATTTCCTCAAACCCCATTTTCCCCCAATAATCATTCTCACTTTGTACTCCAGTTCTCCCATCCATATTTCCCCACATACCCATTTCCCCCCTGTATCCCATCCATTTCCCCTGTGCTTCAGTCACTCAGCTCCCCCAGCACCCCTTCCCCCAACTCTGTTCCCCCCACACGCTTTCTCCCCATCTACTCCCCCATATCCCACTTTCCCCTGTACCCCAATTTCTCCCAAATCCTTCAGCTGCCCCCCACCATGCCCGTTTCTCCTTCTGTTTCCCACACACACTCCAAGCAGCTCTGTCTAACCCATCGCTTTTATTGAGATTCTTTTCTTTTTGAACTCGTTTTTTGGATTCAGTGGATCAAAACATTCGGATGAAACCTCCCAAAAATAGTAAAATCAAGAAAAAAAAACCCTCAGGGGCAGGAGAAAGCCCCCCCCGCCCCTCCCCAAGGCACTCTGGGGGCCGGAGCCCGGGCGGGCAGTAAACAAGCCGGCTTCTCTGTACCACACCGGCCACCAGCGCCACGCCCAGGGCACCCCCGGCGCT